GAGCCGCCCGGCGCCGACCTGGACCGGCCCACGGAGCGGGGCGCGTCAGAGGACGCCGCCGATCGCCGCCGCCGCCACCAGATCCGCCGTCGTGTGCGTGCTTGAATGATGTACACAGCAATTTCATGACAGTGCACATATGGAAAATGTCCTCCCTTCATTGCGTGTCTTTCCTCCTACCTTCTAACATTCTCTTTCCTGCCTCTATCTCTTCTCCCTCCTATCCCTCAGCCCTTTTTTGCCCTACCTCGGGCTCCTCACCTCCTCTACCTCCTCTTCCTGCCCTCGCCTCTCCGGGGGCGTGATGTCAGCGCCCTCGGGCGGCCTCCTTCCGTGGCGTTCTTCCAGGACCGCCGTCGCAGGGGCTCGAGCATCGATCGGTACGATCGAAGTGGGCAGGTCGAACACGGAAAAATTGCAGCAACCGAAATGTTCGGAGCTCCGCGCGAATTTCTCGAATCGGCGCTGGGCCTCCCTGGCGGCGCCTCCGGCGACGCCCCTGGCGCGCTCCGCGCGATGCTTGTACCATTGCTTGTTCCTCTATCACGAAAAAATCGGAACGAAAACAGACAGCAGCTCTTGTCTTTTAGCCAGCCGGCTCAATCGGACCAACTATATCCCCAAGTAGTTGCATTGCCCATGTTGAGGCCTTTGATCCGTCTCTCATGAACTACCACAAGTCATGCTGAGGCTTAGGGCCGGCAGGTGTCTACTGGGGCTTATGGCCCCCCCATCTTGGGACCTTGCCCCTCATGCGCAACATACGCTGAAGTTTTGCTAGATAGGTGTGGAAGCGGGTGGATCACGAATTCATTGGAAAAGCGAGCGCCCTGGGTCCCCGCCAGAAAGCCCCACACCCAAGTTGGAGCTTTGGCTCCGCATGCGTCGTACCCGAGTGCTGGAGCGTTGGCCCCTCACGCAGTGTCCCCGCATGCTGGGGCGTGTATTCCCCATACGTTGCCTTATCAATCCAGTGACTACGGCCCTTCAGGCGTTGCCATGGTCCTAGCATGCTTGGGCGTTGGAAACTCATGCAATGACCCTGCATGTTGGTATGCTGACCTCTCATGCGCTGTCTTACTCAAACGAGGTGATAACCCCTCATGCGTTGCGATTCGCATGCTGGGGCGTTAGCCCCTTATGCGTTGCCTAAGTAGTTGCACGGCTCACTCCCAAGACCAGACCACACTACTGGTGAAATCCCCCACCCCGTCCCCCGTTGTCTCTCATCCTCTCTGTAGTCCTCATCTGCATTCCCCTCCTCCCCCTCTTCCGTGTGTTGTCGCCCGCGGGGAGGGAGTAGGGAGGACGGCGGTGAGCGCTCGGGGGTGATCTCCGCCTGCTTATCCCCACCATCATGCCCCGCTTGCTAAGGCAGCGTCCTCGGAGTCCTCGGTGCCAGCGATAGCGGAACAAAAAGTCACATAAACATAAAAATTCAGAGGTCCGCGCGGATTTCTCGGATCGGCGCTGGGGCCCCCCGACGGCGCCTCCGGCGCCGCCCCTGGCGCGCTCCGCGCGCTGGGGAGGGGGGCCCAGGTCCGATCCGAAAAATCCGCGCGGACCTTCGAGTTTTTATGTTTATGGCACTTTTTGTTTCCCTAAATTCGCAGTGGACCTTGCTGCCACTCAGGGACGCCACTGGGCCATGCGAGCCCCATCCCCCAGGGTATGCCTTAGAGGCAGTTCTGCAAGGTGCAGTGGACCTCTGCCCCCAGCAACTTCACTTCCCCTTCGGGGTGCCACCACCTAGTAGCCCAGATCCAGGGATCACGACGACGGGCTACTGAGTGAGGAGGGAGGGGGAGGATGTCCAGCAGCCAATGGATCAGTAGAGCGGAGCCGCCTGTAGGAACGGGAGCATGTGACCCTTGAGCCATTGCCGTTGCATGGTCAGGTCTGTGATTATATTCCTGTGCCGCTTATAGCCGTCAACATTTTGGGTCACGACTTGCCCTTCCCACTCGTTCAGCCCTGCCCCAGGAGGGGTTGCTGAGGGGGGCCCTTTCTTGAACCCAACTGAGGGTCTGTGACCATCTTCCTCATTCTCCTCCTCCTCCTCCTCATTCTCCTCCTCCTCCTGCTTGTCCCCCTCCTCATCTTCCTCCTGTTCATCCTCACCCTCGTCCACCTCCTCCTGCTCCTCCTGCTGCTGCTGCTGCTGATGGTGCTCCTCCTCTCCTCCTCGTCTTCCTCCTCCTCCTCCACCTCCTCCTCCTCCTCCTCCTCCTCCTCCTCCTCCTCCTCCTCCTCCTCCTCCTCCTCCTCCTCCTCCTCCTCCTCCTCCTCCTCCTCCTCCTCCTCCTCTCTCTCCTCATATTCCCCCTGTATTCCTCCATGCTCCCCACCCCCCTCACCAGTATCCTCCCCCGTATCTAGGTCGCCCACGGGAGCGTCAAGACAAGCGAGCTTCGCAGGTCGCGGTCTCCGCCAGAGCGGCTGTCCTTCTCCAAGGATGCATTCGGGGGGGGGGGGGCGCGGGGGCGCCAAGACCATCGCG